CATTCATCATCTCCCCTGAATAAGTCCGTTTTCTGTAATAGAATATTTAAACCCATTTTCTTGATGTTTCCCATTTTCAAAGTTCATTTTCTAGATAAGATCGCATATTGAACATAAGAAATGAAATTGCAGAAGACCTTTTGCAGTATCTCCTATTTACTCCTTGGATTTATTTACAGCTGGATCCTTGCCAGTATATTCATAGGTTCATCATTCCTAGACCTCGAAAATCCCCATCTTGCTCCACAAATCAGCTAACTTGTTTTTAAACCAACAGGCTAGGGGCCTGGTAGCCTGGTGGATAGTGCACAGCACTCGTAATTCTGTGGCGCGGTTCGATTCCCGCACCAGGTAGAAACATATGGGTAAAGTTTTTTTTTCACCCTGAATGCCCCTGTTACCTAGCAGTAAATAGGTACCTTGGAGTTAGTCAGCTGTCACGGGCTGCTTCCTGGGGTGTGTGTGGTGTGGAGAAAAAAAAGTAGTAAATAGTTGATTGACAGTTGAGAAGCGGGCCGAAAGAGCAAAGCTCAACCCCCCGCAAACACAACTAGGTGAATATATACACAACTCTACAACCCGTACATACATAGAGAATAGCCTGTTTTACCACCATTGCGCCATTAATCAGATGTAATTTATACCATATGAATCCCTAAAATGTATTAGGAATAAGAGTTCAGTAACCCCACAGCTCATTCACCTCAAGCAATCTTAATTATTTATACTGATAATTCATATTAATGTTTACTAATCAACAAGGTATTCATATTATTCCAGCAAGTTCAAAATATTTTTAAATACCCACCTACATACTATTCAAATAACATCTAATCTATCTCCTGAAGCACTTATTAATAGGATAACGACAGCAGCGTTCTCTACACTGGCAAAAGTTAGAACATCATTTAGAAACCTAAGTAAGGAGGTCTTTAGGGCGCTTTACACTGCCTACCTGAGGCCAGTCTTAGAGTATGCCGCCTCATCATGGAGTCCCCATCTGAAGAAGCATATAATGAAACTGGAAAAGGTTCAGAGGTTTGCAACGAGACTCGTCCCAGAGCTACGAGGGATGGGGTATGAGGAGCGCCTGAGGGAACTGTGCCTTACGACACTAGAAAGAAGAAGGGAGAGGGGGGACATGATAGGAACGTATAAAATACTTAGGGGGATTGACAGAGTGGAAATAGACGAAATGTTCACACGGAATAGTAACAGAACGAGGGGACATGGGTGGAAGCTGGAAACTCAGATGAGTCACAGAGATGTTAGGAAGTTTTCTTTTAGCGTGAGAGTAGTGGAAAAATGGAATGCACTTAAGGAACAGGTTGTGGAAGCAAATACTATTCATAATTTTAAAACCAGGTATGATAGGGAAATGGGACCAGAGTTATTGCTGTAAACAACCGATGGCTCAAAAGGCGGGATCCAAGAGTCAATGCTCGATCCTGCAGGCACAAATAGGTGAGTACACACACACATACACCAGTTGATTGACGGTTGAGAGGCGGGACCAAAGAGCCAGAGCTCAACCCTCGCAAGTACAACTAGGTGAGTACACCCAGTAAGCAGCCCGTAACAGTTGTGTAACTCCCAGGTACCTATTTACTGCTAGGTAACAGAGGCATCAGGGTGAAAGAAACTCTGCCCATTTTGTTTCTCCCAACACCGGGAATCGAACCCGGACCCTAGGATTACGGGTCCATAGTGCTGTCCACTCAGCTATCAGGCCACCTGTATGTGTGTGTGTGTGTGTACTCACCTAATTTGTACTCACCTATTTGTGTTTGCCGGGGTAGAGCTTTGGCTCTTTGGTCCCGCTTCTCAACTGTCAATCAACTAGTGTACAGATTCCTGAGCCTACTGGGCTCTATCATATCTACATTTGAAACTGTGTATGGAGTCAGCCTCCACCACATCACTGCCTAATGCATTCCATCTGTTAACTACTCTGACACTGAAAAAGTTCTTTCTAACGTCCCTGTGGCTCATTTGGGTACTGTTTCCACCTGTGTCCCCTTGTTCGCGTACCACCAGTGTTAAACAGTTTATCCTTATCTACCCTGTCAATTCCCCCGGAGGATTTTGTAGGTAGTGATCATGTCTCCCCTTATTCTTCTGTCTTCCAATGTTGTGAGGTGCATTTCCCGCAGCCTTTCCTTGTAACTCATGCCTCTTAGTTGCGGGACTAGTCTAGTGGCATACATCTGAACTTTTTCCAGCTTCGTCTTGTGCTTGGCAAGGTACGGGCTCCATGCTGGGGCCGCATACTCCAGGATTGGTCTAACATGTGGTATACAAGATTCTGAATGATTCCTTACACAGGTTCGTGAAGCCTGTTCTGATGTTAGCCAGCCTCGCATATGCCTCGTTCTTGTGATAGAATGGCTATCACAAGAACTGTCTTTAGAAATTTAGGAAAGTATTCATTTAGGACATTATACACCATATACTTAGTCAGATTAATCCTAGATTATGTGGCTCCAGCGTGGAGTCCACACAAGATAAAGTTCAGAGCTATGCCATAATACTAGTCCCGGAATTGAGAGATCTGAGTTACAAGGAAAGGCTACTGGACTTAAACCTCACGTCATTGAAAGACAGAGTTAGAAGAGACCAAGATTACAACGTATACAATCATCAATGTGTGTGTGTGTGTATTCTTATGCTTTGCGTACTATTGGCTATATTAAATATGTACCTTCATGTAACAAATAAGCAGTCACTATCAAGTTCTTCCTCCTTTATATTTTTTTTAAATAAAAATTATTATGTTTATTATTATTATTGTTGTTGTTGGGAAGTAAGTAATTATCAATAGAAGGCACCAAACCAGGAAGGCTATGTAGCACCATCAAATGTGCGGGACAAGGAGCAGGGCGGCGCTCCATCAAGTGACCATGGGTTAAGCGAGTATGGCCAATACGCAACCTCGCCAGAGCCGTTTCCCATCGTCGGTTACGGTGGTAGGAGGACGGCCACAAGGACACAACTCTTAAGAATACACAGTTTGTTACCAGTAACAGACGACCAATAAGCCTGCCAACGGGTAAGGATGGAGGAATGGATAACCGGGTAAAAGTCAGAATAAGGAATACCTTTACGAGAGATGGGACAAGAGCGGACAGCTTCCCTGGCGGCAGCATCCGCACGCTCATTCAAAGAGACACCAATATGGCTGGGAACCCAACAAAACTCAACCGACTTAAATTTACTGTGAACAAGAAACAGCCAATGCTGGATCTCGACAACTACTGGATGAACCGGATTAAAGGACCCGAGAGCCATGAGGGCACTACGAGAGTCAACAACAACTACAAAGGAAGATTGACAACGAGAAAGCAGGAGACGAAGAGCATAGATAATAGCATAAAGTTCCGCTGTGAAGATGCTAGTCTCCGGAGGTAAGCAACACATATAAGTGCAATCAGGAAAAACAACAGAGTAGCCAACACCGTCCACAGACTTAGACCCATCGGTGAAGACGGAAACGGAGCGGGAGTGAGAAGAAAAGTGCTCAAGGATGTTGTTGGGCAAAGTTTGCTTTTATACTAGAAGTAATTGTCGCTATGTTTCCTACCATTTAGCCTGTGATACAAACGACGAAATTAAGGTCCAATAATGGCTAATCTTGCCGGGACGCTAGAGGCGCTCCCCGGGCAGGAGGGAGCGCCAAGCCCATCTCACCAAGCGCCTCCTCTTCACCAGGACTTACTCCTCACCTAAACTTTTCACTGCGCGGGTTTATCTATATTACTCTAGATTGATGTTAAATTTACGGGTTATTCATGCCCGTGCTACCTTTTGGGGTGGCTTAATTTTTATCAATTAATAAATCGATGTTAATTGCTTAATAATCCATAAATATGTATTGTTGGAGTGATACCAGTAGCATTATGAAGGAGTGATGAGGCTTTATTACATATTTATAAGCCGCATCTTATGGCTGCACAATTGCTACAAGCCGGGTGTTTTGTGAGTGTGAGGCTTCAAGCATACATATACGCAACCACTTGCGAAGCCTATACATCTTTCCTCAATTACGGTGGTTGGATTAATATTTACTCAATAGTTTAAGAACTTTGAAACTTTACAACGCAAGTAATGTTATAAATAGCTACATAGCGGGTCGTTCTTCACAAATTATTAAACAAATGTAAACAAAGCCGCCATAATCTAAGAAAGATGTACAGATTTCGTAAGTGCTTAATGACTCCTACAGAGCCAGTTGCAGGTACTCGTGTACCCTACAACCCAAACCAAGCAGGGTACCCCCCCCCCCCGCAGGAATGTGTGTGTGGGCTCCTTAAATATTTAATGTCGCCCAGTTGAGGCTGTCGACACGGGGGAGTGGTGAGTCTGGTCTGATGTTACTACGGCCTGGATGGTCAGCTATCACGGCGTGGATGGTCAGCTATCACGGCGTGGATGGTCAGCTATCACGGCCTGGATGACCAGCTGTCACGGCGTGGATGACCAGCTGTCACGGCGTGGATGACCAGCTATCACGGCGTGGATGGTCAGCTATCACGGCCTGGATGGCCAGCTATCACGGCGTGGATGATCAGCTATCACGGCGTGGATGGTCAGCTATCACGGCGTGGATGGTCAGCTATCACGGCGTGGATGACCAGCTGTCACGGCGTGGATGACCAGCTATCACGGCCTGGATGACCAGCTATCACGGCCTGGATGGTCAGCTATCACGGCCTGGATGACCAGCTATCACGGCCTGGATGGTCAGCTATCACGGCCTGGATGGTCAGCTATCACGGCCTGGATGGTCAGCTATCACGGCCTGGATGGTCAGCTATCACGGCCTGGATGGTCAGCTATCATGGCCTGGATGGCCAGCTATCACGGCGTGGATGGTCAGCTATCACGGCGTGGATGACCAGCTATCACGGCGTGGATGACCAGCTGTCACGGCGTGGATGACCAGCTGTCACGGCGTGGATGACCAGCTGTCACGGCGTGGATGACCAGCTGTCACGGCGTGGATGAGAAGGTACTGGAGTGAGAAACAAGTACCAGGAGGAGCGGCCAGTACTGGAGGCCGGGGTGGAGGAGGAGGAGCGGCCAGTACTGGAGGCCGGGGTGCAGGAGGAGGAGCGGCCAGTACTGGAGGCCGGGGTGGAGGAGGAGGAGCGGCCAGTACTGGAGGCCGGGGTGGAGGAGGAGGAGGGCCAGTACTGGAGGCCGGGGTGGAGGAGGAGGTACTGGAGGCCGGGGTGGAGGAGGAGGAGGGCCAGTACTGGAGGCCGGGGTGGAGGAGGAGGAGGGCCAGTACTGGAGGCCGGGGTGGAGGAGGAGGAGCGGCCAGTACTGGAGGGCGGGGTGGAGGAGGAGGAGGGCCAGTACTGGAGGCCGGGGTGCAGGAGGAGGAGCGGCCAGTACTGGAGGCCGGGGTGGAGGAGGAGGAGCGGCCAGTACTGGAGGCCGGGGTGCAGGAGGAGGAGCGGCCAGTACTGGAGGCCGGGGTGCAGGAGGAGGAGCGGCCAGTACTGGAGGCCGGGGTGCAGGAGGAGGAGCGGCCAGTACTGGAGGCCGGGGTGGAGGAGGAGGAGCGGCCAGTACTGGAGGCCGGGGTGGAGGAGGAGGTACTGGAGGCCGGGGTGGAGGAGGAGGGCCAGTACTGGAGGCCGGGGTGGAGGAGGAGGAGCGGCCAGTACTGGAGGCCGGGGTGCAGGAGGAGGAGCGGCCAGTACTGGAGGCCGGGGTGGAGGAGGAGGAGCGGCCAGTACTGGAGGCCGGGGTGGAGGAGGAGGAGGGCCAGTACTGGAGGCCGGGGTGCAGGAGGAGGAGGGCCAGTACTGGAGGCCGGGGTGCAGGAGGAGGAGCGGCCAGTACTGGAGGCCGGGGTGGAGGAGGAGGAGCGGCCAGTACTGGAGGCCGGGGTGCAGGAGGAGGAGCGGCCAGTACTGGAGGCCGGGGTGCAGGAGGAGGAGCGGCCAGTACTGGAGGCCGGGGTGGAGGAGGAGGAGCGGCCAGTACTGGAGGCCGGGGTGCAGGAGGAGGAGCGGCCAGTACTGGAGGCCGGGGTGCAGGAGGAGCGGCCAGTACTGGAGGCCGGGGTGGAGGAGGAGGTACTGGAGGCCGGGGTGGAGGAGAGAGGCGGGGACAGGGAGACAGTGGTGCCACACCACCACACAACACCAGCGGGTGGTCACAGTGCTGGCGGCCGTCACGTGCTGGCTGGTCCACTCATCAACACTTCACACTGTGTTAATGTCTGTAGTGACAGCTTGCGAGGCAGAGGCCACCAAGATGGCACTATAGACGTAATGGTAAGGAAATAACTGGTCGAGGCTCACAGTGGAAGGGTGGAGAAGGTCGAGCCTTACAGTGGAAGAGTGGAGAATGTCGAGGCTCACAGTGGAAGGGTGGAGAAGGTCGAGCCTTACAGTGGAAGGGTGGAGAATGTCGAGGCTCACAGTGGAAGGGTGGAGAAGGTCGAGCCTTACAGTGGAAGGGTGGAGAATGTCGAGGCTCACAGTGGAAGGGTGGAGAAGGTCGAGGCTCACAGTGGAAGGGTGGAGAAGGTCGAGGCTCACAGTGGAAGGGTGGAGAAGGTCGAGGCTCACAGTGGAAGGGTGGAGAAGGTCGAGGCTCACAGTGGAAGGGTGGAGAAGGTCGAGGCTCACAGTGGAAGAGTGGAGAAGGTCGAGGCTCACAGTGGAAAGGAGAAATAAGTCATGACAAGACGGTGAAGGGGAGAGGGAACGACTGTGGCTTGAGAGGGAGAAAGAAAGGGTGTGGTTACAGGGGCAGATAAAAGGGGCGTGGCTTTAAGGGGAGATAGAAGAGGTGTGGCTTGAGGGAGAGACGGAAGAGGTGTGGCTTGAGGGAGAGACGGAAGAGGTGTGGCTTGAGGGAGAGACGGAAGAGGTGTGGCTTGAGGGAGAGACGGAAGAGGTGTGGCTTGAGGGAGAGACGGAAGAGGTGTGGCTTGAGGGAGAGACGGAAGAGGTGTGGCTTGAGGGAGAGACGGAAGAGGTGTGGCTTGAAGGAGAGACGGAAGAGGTGTGGCTTGAGGGGAGGTGTAAGGGGGGTGTGGCAGGAGAGATGGGCAGGGCGTAAGGGCGACGAGAGAGGGAAAAGGGCGTGGCTTAATGGGAGAGGAGGAGGAGGGAAGACACCCTCCCGGCAAGCATCCCTCCTCCTCCTCCCCCTGTACTGTATATTCATTAGTAACTACAGTATTGTCGGCCCCTTCTTCCTCTTCCCTCGTTTATCACCCTCTCTGCCTTCCACGCTCCCATGATAAAATAATCACAGGAGTTTAGTCAAATATAATTTTCTAGGATGAAGCCAAAGGCCATAATATTGTCGTGTCTCCGGAACGTGTAAAATATTGGCTTGGATTCCTCGTGCAGCCCTTCGTCCACGAAGGCAACTCGGTTTTTTTTCTCTTATTTCCTTGTAAATTTTTTTTTACGAGAGAACAAGAGAGAGCCCCATAAGCATTAGCCGTGATTCAGAGGAGGATTTTTACAGCTTACTCCAATATATAAAACGTGATCAAAAATATTCAATCATCGGAGAGGGGTCTTGGCCTCTGAGCGGGTCCCGGCGAGTCCGCTTCCCCCGCCTCTTACTCGCGCTGATTAAATCCGCGGGGGAAGAGGAGTCAGCCGGAACAACGGCCAACTAATTTTTCGGTGTGGGTCTATGTGGGTATTTGTTGTTTGTTAATTTTATTCGGTTATTGTCTTAACATGATAAACCTCATATCCCTCAGGGTTAAGCATTAAATATGCATCATTTAATCGCTTAGCGCAGAGGAGGTTGGGTAATACAGTGAGGGGGAGGGGGTAGAGGAGTGCGCATGTACACCCCCCTCCCTGCCGCCCCCCCCACCCGTCTTGATGAATATATCGTGGGTTTTCATAATCCCAAAAGTTAGGTTGATGAAAGTTTTCATGTTCTAAAAGGAAGTAATTTATCCGGATTCGACTTTTAATCTGGCGGTGGCGCCGACATACCGGGCGGGCCTTGCCTGGCGGCCTTATCAACACCGAATTCAAACTCTTTTGGCTCTTAGGCTGCCATTTGCTATTTTTTTCCCCCTCCTGGCTTATTTTTAAAATTCATTCTGCTACCCGTTGGAGGTCCTTATGAGATAATTAATGTGACCTAAATAGCAACACTCGTTACCAGGCACGCTAAATAGGGTTTGATGGTATGTGATTGGTGTTGGAGAGTTAGTTCCCCGAGGCCGGAGGAGCTGAAGCTTCCCACTTAAGGAACCCGAGTGGAGAAAATGAGGTGCGTAATATTTTCCTGAAGGAGGTGACTACCTTCGCTGCTGGAGGCTGGTGATGGGGGATGTTTGGGGGACCTTAGGTGTACTTGTCCAACCTCTTCCACTCGTGTACTTGTCCAACCCTCTTCCACTCGTGTACTTGTCCATCCTCTTCCACTCGTGTACTTGTCCATCCTCTTCCACTCGTGTACTTGTCCATCCTCTTCCACTCGTGTACTTGCCCAATCCTCTTCCACTCGTGTACTTGTCCAACCTCTTCCACTCGTGTACTTGTCCATCCTCTTCCACTCGTGTACTTGTCCAACCCTCTTCCACTCGTGTACTTGTCCAACCCTCTTCCACTCGTGTACTTGTCCAACCCTCTTCCACTCGTGTACTTGTCCAACCCTCTTCCACTCGTGTACTTGTCCATCCTCTTCCACTCGTGTACTTGCCCAATCCTCTTCCACTCGTGTACTTGTCCAACCCTCTTCCACTCGTGTACTTGTCCATCCTCTTCCACTCGTGTACTTGCCCAATCCTCTTCCACTCGTGTACTTGCCCAATCCTCTTCCACTCGTGTACTTGTCCAACCCTCTTCCACTCGTGTACTTGTCCATCCTCTTCCACTCGTGTACTTGCCCAATCCTCTTCCACTCGTGTACTTGTCCAACCCTCTTCCACTCGTGTACTTGTCCATCCTCTTCCACTCGTGTACTTGTCCAACCCTCTTCCACTCGTGTACTTGTCCATCCTCTTCCACTCGTGTACTTGTCCAACCCTCTTCCACTCGTGTACTTGTCCATCCTCTTCCACTCGTGTACTTGTCCAACCCTCTTCCACTCGTGTACTTGTCCATCCTCTTCCACTCGTGTACTTGTCCATCCTCTTCCACTCGTGTACTTGTCCAACCCTCTTCCACTCGTGTACTTGTCCAACCCTCTTCCACTCGTGTACTTGTCCAACCCTCTTCCACTCGTGTACTTGTCCATCCTCTCCCACTCGTGTACTTGTCCATCCTCTTCCACTCGTGTACTTGCCCAATCCTCTTCCACTCGTGTACTTGCCCAACCCTCTTCCACTCGTGTACTTGCCCAATCCTCTTCCACTAGTTATCACGCCTGGCAAGCGAATTATTGAGTAAAATAGGATACTCAAAGGTAAACATTGAACAGGAGGGAGAGTTTTATCTGCTATGTACGTGGATACAAAACATATTGGTCTTGGAAAGTTCTTTTTGTTTTAATTATTAAAGACACTGTGGGTCTTCCTGGTAATTGACCAAGTTTTTTACGTATGGTAACCAACGTTACCAGTGCATCCTGCTATAAAAAGTAACGGCAACGAAAATTGTTACGAAAAACAGACATAATTACAGACTGACACAATTACAGACTGACACAATTACAGACTGACACAATTACAGACTGACACAATTACAGACTGACACAATTACAGACTGACACAATTACAGACTGACACAATTACAGACTGACACAATTACAGACTGACACAATTACAGACTCACACAATTACAGACTCACACAATTACAGACTCACACAATTACAGACTCACACAATTACAGACTCACACAATTACAGACTCACACAATTACAGACTCACACAATTACAGACTCACACAATAACAGCCTCACACAATTACAGCCTCACACAATTACAGCCTCACACAATTACAGCCTCACACAATTACAGACTCACACAATTACAGCCTCACACAATTACAGACTCACACAATAACAGCCTCACATAATAACACACACAATCACAAACTTATAACAAGAAAGCTTTGAGGTATTAATAAATCCTTACATGCCTGACTAAAATAGTCATATCTTGCCATACTTGGCGAGAGGAGTGTGAGGATAAAGCACAAAGCCAGCACGGATATATATAGATATAAATATTGATGTTATCTACTCAAGTCCGGGTTAGTTATTACATCCTTATCTTCTCCTTATTACGTGAGCTTGAAACAAGGAAGAAGGTATTTTAGATTAATCAAAATAAACTACTTTAAACAATGGCATGCTAGTTAGCACTATCCTTGACTATTAATCAGCCCATTTGTTCATTAGTACGTGTTTATGCCAAGCTCTCAGGTATATATATATCTACTGTCCCACAGTCCCGCTCAACCCTCTCAAAGGTCTCCGGATGTCTTATGTCTTCTTCAGACACTAATTACCTGTTCCATCTCTCGCTGACTAGGTTAGGTAATTGTGAGGAGAAAACTAGTATGGCTGAAGGGATATAAGGACAAGGATCTGGGGGGTGAGGACAAGGATCTGGGGTGTGAGGACAAGGATCTGGGGTGTGAGGACAAGGATCTGGGGTGTGAGGACAAGGATCTGGGGGTGTGAGGACAAGGATCTGGGATGTGAGGACAAGGATCTGGGGTGTGAGGACAAGGATCTGGGGGTGTGAGGACAAGGATCTGGGATGTGAGGACAAGGATCTGGGGGTGTGAGGACAAGGATCTGGGGTGTGAGGACAAGGATCTGGGGTGTGAGGACAAGGATCTGGGGTGTGAGGACAAGGATCTGGGGGTGTGAGGACAAGGATCTGTGTGAGGACAAGGATCTGGGGGTGTGAGGACAAGGATCTGGGATGTGAGGACAAGGATCTGGGGTGAGGACAAGGATGTGAGGACAAGGATCTGGGGGTGTAAGGACAAAGATCTGGGGGTGTGAGGACAAGGATCTGGGGGTATGAGGACAAGGATCTGGGGTGTGGGGACAAGGATCTGGGGGTGTGAGGACAAAGATCTGGGGGTGTGAGGACAAGGAGCTGGGGGTGAGGACAAGGATCTGGGGAGTGAGGACAAGGATCTGGGATGTGAGGACAAGGATCTGGGGGTGAGGACAAGGATCTGGGGGTGTGAGGACAAGGATCTGGGGGTGTGAGGACAAGGATCTGAGTGAGGACAAGGATCTGGGGTGTGGGGTGTGAGGACAAGGATCTGGGGGTGTAAGGACAAAGATCTGGGGGTGTGAGGACAAGGATCTGGGGGTATGAGGACAAGGATCTGGGGT